GAGAAAATCAACCGTAAACGATACTAGTATCAGATAGCAAATTTACTCACCCGTTTCATAACCATAACTCCTCCACGAGTCTGACTATCCGACATTAACAAATACGATAAGTGAGTAATCGCTTTTTTAAGAACATCTGCATCTTTTTTGCTGAAATTGTAACGACACACTAAACTCTAATGCAGTGATGGCGTAAATCAGCTACACTAATTTACAACTCACCATGCCTTCTCTATGAAATTAGCAGAAAAACAGCGCATGTGAAAATCTTCTGAAGAGGTGAATTCGAGCATTTCATCCAGAAAATTATCAAGCAAGTGACCGGAGCTATCTGCGCTTAGTAACATATCTTGAGCCTGGAATGTGCGACAAATGAGTGGTAGTAAGGTTTAATTCCATAAAGTAATTACTAACATTATTCAAACATTCCAACTTTAGTTTGATATCGGATGTAGCCTGCGCATCTCGTATAAGTTCTCCAATTTTGTCAGCGATAACATCGCTTTTCTCCAAGGGCTCAATCAAACGGCTTGGATTCTCCATAATTCTGGAACTCTTAGATGATTGCATCTCAATTCATCGCATATCCTTCACTCTTATTTGAAATATTTAGCAGAGATGATAGAGTTTGCAGATCATATGTTCATGGCATTGAGAGAGAGCAAGAAAAATGACATGTTTACTATTAACAAGAGGTGTGTAGATGTTAAAGATGAAACTGGAAGTCTTGCTACATGTCGTTGATGTAGTTTACTATAAAACAGAATGGATTAGAGAGAGAACGAAGTCCGTATAAATCTTTCTTTGATACAAAATCGCACTTCGACTTGGACGGGATGAAAAAAGCCGATTATTTTGGCACTTCATCTAGAACATCTTCACTAAAAGACACTCCCCTGAGAAATGCCTATCCAAAAAGATAAAAAGTAGAAAAGAGGTTGCAATTCCATAGAGAAATTTATAAGAGATGAGTTGGGCCGCAGCCACGGTCAAGGCGCGTCTTTCGCATTACAGTGTCGCAATTAATATTCTGTAATGCAACATTTATATTAACAGGTATGATCAATATTCAAAGGTGGCAGATAAATAAGTACAAATTTGCACGTTTCTGTCATAGCTGGAACGTGAAAGTGTAAACCCGCGTAATGTACGGACTAACAATTGATACCCTGCAACGTTGGACAGAATGGCAGTGTCTATTCAGACCAGATTGAAGGTAGTAAGGAAGCGGAATCAGTAGTGTTTGTAAGTTAAGATGAATTTTTGGAGTGCCTTTGCGGGGATATCCGTAAAGGCGATAGATCGACGAATTTCCTAGTGTATTAGATTAAATGAGGTGCCATGTATGGACGAGTTCCTAGAAAAATGCAGCAGCTAGAGTAATTTTGATTAAACTTCCTTTCTTTATGAACATGAGCTTTTGTTTGTTCGCTCTGGTAAGTAATAGCGGTTTATCGCTTCATAACCCATCCTCTTCCCATGTTAGGAAGTGACCCGGTACTAGTAATCGAATCATGCGAACTGCTTATAAAATCCTTGACCATTCATCCGTAACATCTTGCATTATGCTTTTCTCAAGTAAAAGATCCGATGTCCCTTCTTACTCCCATAAGATTGTTTCAGATGACACTTCAAGCGCTGATAGCCCTCCTTCTTTTGGTAATCCCACGAACCTCTTCTCGATTACTTTGTGGTGTTGAATTGGTCACAAGCAACTTTATGGAAATGTTCATAAAATTGGATTGCCCTAACCTCTTGGGTAAATAGGTCAATGACTTGCTTCTGGAATTTTAATGAAATGTTTCAGCGCGACATCAAAAATGTTGCACTGACCATGGTGTCTGCTACATTTTCCGACAGCCTTGGGATGTATGTGATAAAAGTTATTGTGAATGTGTCTATAAAATTGCCGGGAAAGCTGGAGGAATTTGCCAGGTTGGACTCATCTCAATTACGCACAACTTAGCTGGATTCTGATAATACACATGAAGAATTGAAAGTGCTACACTTCACAATTTTACTTTCAGGCTCATGGCGAGAATTTTTGCAATATCGTTAAGGATACTGGTCGGAATGTGCATCAATTTTATGAAAAACGATGACTTTTTGACGCTACCGTAATAACATCAATAAATTATTATATATTAGGCTATATTGTTTATCATCGTACCGAACAGTGGACGTATCAAGAAACCTTATGGAACTTAAAGTTCGCATACATCAATGAAAATCTGGAAGAAAATTCACTGTAATTCACGAGATTTTCTTGTATGACAATGCTTTGACGATTCCAAATTTCTTTAACCAAATTAGGCACTCGCTTAGCAATATACAGGACACAAAGTGAGATTCTATTCTCATAAAGAAAGAAGGAATAAGTGCTACTCTGCCGACTGAGATCATGATTTTTGATACAGCAGAACCGATGTCGCCTAATGACTCTATGGATTTCCCATTCTCAACTCTGTGGACGACACTAAACCAAAGTAGTTTTCATACTGAAACAATAAGATTGCATAGATAAAAGTTTATTCGAGAATACCCGCGAAGCAATGTACAGGGTATAAAGTGATTCTGCTCACATAAAAATATGCATTACTGCGCTGCACACATTCTCATGCATGAGTTGTAGTCGGGAAAATTGTTCTCATTTCCCAATGATCCATAGTAGGAAAATCTAAATCGGAACGATATCACACTGAAACATAACGAACTAATTGTAAGCTGTAACTTACCTCATGCACGTTTTGTATTGGCTCGTGTAGAAAT